GAAGATTAACACCGGATCGGCTACGTCTCTCCCTATTGTTCAATGCATTTCGACTGTTTTGTGTTTCCCATAACTTACATAACGGGCTACCACGTGGCGGTTGCTCGGCTACAAAAACGAGCCTTTTATATGATCTTCATCAGTACTTGTATCATGGTATATTTTACACATTGACTTCACCACCGCGCGCCCTGGCATTACTTCGGGGCTTGTATTCGCTTCTTCCCCAGGCAAGAGTCAACGCCCATCGTATCTCTCTCAAACATGGCGCTATTTTTCCGCGTAGTACAATTAAAGGAACGGAATGTGAGCAACACAATACCGTAAGCCAAGCACGATTACATGTGAATGCTGAGATTGGGTACATCATCAACTTTTTCTTTGCTGCTGTAGAGACTATCGACCAAAAAGACCGTCTATGGCTTTTAGAACTTATGTTAGAAACGGCACGTGTGTGGCCTCAGTTAGGTGAATGGGTAGAAAGTGAGGGTGTGTTTCGTCTGGACAATATTGCGGGACCGGATGAATATAACAGCACGGCTTCTGGAAATTTTTATATTCATTTGTCCGCCAAAATGCATATGCGATATGTTCTTGATCTCTATGAACAACAACTGGCATTGCTTGGAGAAGAAGCTATGACAAATCTGCTAAAACAAATTGACATGGACAAATCTGAGCTTGAAAATTTTCGAGCCACATCTGATGGTATTGTTATACGTCGTAATGATCATTTAGGAGTCTACTTGGTACATGATTACTTCCATACACTTAAGGAGTGGAAGGGTGAGCGTCCTAAACACCCATTGTCAATGAATTATCATCCTCTTGCAATATTTTCTCACATGCTTGTTGATATTCCCGAAGTATTGCTGGGGATGCTTCTGTATCAAGAAGAATTTGAAAAAAAGGACTTGGTACGAAATCTGGCCCATTACGAGGCGCTTTGCACATATGATTCACCCGAGTCTCTTGCTATTGTGGCGGCTGTGGATTTTCAATCCAATGGATCATTTGCTCATGGTCTGCCGTTATTACGCTCATTGATGAGTCTGGATGTGGATAATGTCATTTACACCGCCGATGAAGGACTCCATTTTGGCGTCATGTCTTCTTCTTGGATTGCCATTGTCAGTGGCATCGGTAGACTCAAATTGGGTAAACGGACTCTTTATTTAGATCCATGCTTTCCTGCAGGATTATCGATTGTCAAGTTTACAATTTGTTGGCGTGGGTCAACATTAAGTACCACGGTAGACAAGGATTACGTTACATATGAACTTATTGCAGGGGATAGTATTCGTTTTGTGCATGGCGATGGTCATCGTATTCATCTTCACACGGGATTTCACCGATATACCGCCAAGAGGCAAGTGTCTGTGCCACGGTTGATAAGGAGTGGCGAGGGAGAATTTGACGGTGCCGTTTTTCTTTGCGAGACGTTATTTGATGAAATTACGGATATACACTACATGGCTTGGTATAAAACGCTTGAATCCCTCTTTGAGAATTACCGAGCACTGCATCTTCGTGAAATTCAGCCCTTAACCACAGACGAATTTTTTGAAAAAGTTATTTACCAAGCAGAAGAACGTGAAATTGCATTCAGTGGCATACACAACGTCTTATTGGACCGTGGGATTGATCTCGAGCTCGGTACCCCGGACGACGCCGAGATCGTTGAGACACGATATGGTCTGGCGAACGCCAAAGTGGCAGAAATGGCGGAAATACTCTCTCGCATGACCCCTCGAGTGAACGCTGGCATGCACGCATTGTTGAAGGATCTCTCCAATAGCGGTATTGCGCTTGCGGTCGTGACATACTCACGGAGTCTCAAGACGCTGATGCACTACAATCCTGAGGTTATGCCACTGTTTCTCGCCTACATTGACGGTGAGGAGGCACACGATCGACACATCAAAAGCCGTCCTCATGTTGATATTTTCCTTCGCGCCGCAGAGAAAATTCATGTGAATCCGGCGCGCTGCGTTGTTTTCTCCATGTATCTTGATCGCGGCTTTAAAGCCTCCAGCCTTGCAAACTTTCGCATGTTTTTTGATGTGGAGGGGATATTTGCGACAAAACGGGTGTCGCAGCAGACGCAGCCGTATCCCACGCTCTCCAACGATGCAGCTGCCGCAGTGGGGCGCGATGGTGTGCCCCTTATTTTGCGTCTCTCGCGGGAAAACCTGCCAACGACAATTGACGCCCTGGAGGACATGATGTACGGACGCTGCGACGCGGTAGACGAACGGCATGTTGCTTCTTACACGAAATGAAACGTTAGTTTGAGAATAGGTCAGGGAAAAATGGCAGTGGGAGTCTGCGCATGGGAACAGGAAAGCCACAGGAATAAGAGAGAAAATAAACGGTCCGTTATCTGCAAAGTGATGTGGGTGTGCATTTGAGAGTTTAGTTATTTATCGATATTATTATTATTACTATTATTTTGCTGTACACTTAGATATTTGCATAGATTGGGAGTCACTTTGAGAGCGCAAAACCCGTAGCCGGTCTTTTTTTTTTTTTTGCCTCTTTTTCCGCCACTGTTCGGTTTAGCTTTTTGCTGTGGTTATTACCCCGGCAACGATGACCATGTTGCGTGAGAATTGCTGGCTCGTTATGAATTTCCTTGGCTACCACCGAGGATGCTCATTGCTGTTTCGCCCTGCTGTCTTTTTGTTGTTGTCGTTGTTGTTGTCTTTGCTTTCTGCTTTTTGCATGCAATATGTTTATTTACATATTTGAGGCGGTAAGTCGTCATGTCCGTTACCGATACATTAGGGCCTTTGTTCACATTCCTCATCATTATCAATGTTGTAGGCACGGCCCTTCCACTGCTACGGCATCGCTTTGTTTTGTATCCTTTGGCATTTGTACTCTTTGGTTTTGCCGGTCTTTTTCTCATACTGGCCGTTATTTTTCTTCTTGGTGATGCAACGGTTTCGGTCTACAACGTGAATGCCAAGGGGCAGGTGAAGGTGCAGGCGACCGTTCCTTTTGACCTCCCGGCTTTTTTTCAACTCAATTTGACGATGACCACATGGATGCTCTCATCCGTTCTGGCGATGGTGACTTGGCTCTGCTACCAGTCTCGCAAGGGCTGGCAAGTTTACATCGTGCCAATGCTGCAAGACCTGAACACACTCGAGACGTCATGTTGGTCCAATACGCTGGATTTGCGTAACCGTGTTGCCCCAAACACAATGTGACGCCACACTTGTTCCACAGAATGAGGGATGGGACGGCGAGGAAAGGGAATTTGCGCCGTTCACATAATAGACGGGGCACAACACACAGAAAAAGAAAAAACAGACTGAAGTTTTCTTTCTTTTTTGTTGTTGTTTTCTTCTCTTTTTTTCTTGCACAACTTTTATTGAGTTTCTTTTTTTTTTTTTTTTTTTTTTTCTTTTTTGCCCTGCGGATGTTGGTAGAACACATATATATTTTTTTTTTTACTCACTCATTCGCTCGCCTCACCCGTCTGCATTTTTACGTGACTCTGCGCTTCGCTCCACCGTTCAAGACGATTCGACATACCCGCACTTTGTACAGGGCCATCAGGTGCGCACTGGGGCCCACTCACCACTTAAATTGCCAATTTTTTGGGCAGAATACCGGCGCCACAGTCGGTGCGCTTCGGACAAAGTCGAGTATTGCACGGATGGCGCGGCAGCCTAACACTGTCATTGTGTTGCATCCTGTGAACAGCGCCATTATTACATTAGATATCTGTTTGCAGCTTGATGACTCTTTGAGTTCCATATGGCGAAAGAACATGGCGAGAAGTGAGGACGAGGTGGCAATGAGGACAATTGAACGGCTTCAGATTTTGCTGGTTCAACAGAAGGAAGGGAAGAATAGCCGACGAATGAAAAGAGAAGATTTACTCAAAGACTCTCAGCCCATTCACGTATTTGGTCTGGAAATCGATGAGCATGAAGCGGAAGGTCAAGCAACAGCACCAACTTCCACCACCCTGAAGACTTTGGACACATCCATAACTAACAAATTATTTTGGAAGCGGGCCAAAGAGATGTTAATCGGTTCGACTGTTGTGAAGATAAAGTACAACGTGCCCACCATTACATCCATTGTCCCCCCATCTGCGCTTTATGTGGGATTACCGGCTCTTTGCTGTGGCATAACCACATTGTTTACATCAGAAATTGGTATTCTTTATGAATGGTGCTTATGCAGCACGGATTCACGCGAACACACAAACATAAGTGTCATTTCGACGGATGCTGTTTTTACGCCTCTTGAGGAGCATCTAGGGAAAAATTTGGTGCTCCGTGTATCACCTGAAGGAGACTCCGGTCTCTGGACACAGGTTGATTTACCCCCTGTTCGTGCTGCATTGACACCTGTGGATCGGTGGAAGCACACAATGGCGCCAGCAGAGGCACCTGTTTTTAGGGTGGTAACGTACAATGTTCTCCATGATGAGTTTTGCAGCACAAGCGCGGCAAAGAGACGTATTTACCCCTTTGCGACCGACGACATATTGTCATTGGAGTACCGCCAAGTGCGCATATTGCAAGAACTTCTCGCATACAGAGCCGACGTGATTTGTCTTCAGGAATGTGGGGAAAAAGTTTACCGTCAGTTCTTTGAACGCATCTTACATCACAGTGGCTATGATGGGCGCTACACGAATAAAAATGGGGGCGTAAAAGAGGGTTGTGCATGCTTCTGGAAAAGAACTCGTTTTTGTATGAATGAGACCCTTGTTTTCCCGTTGAACTGGACAACTTTACAGGAAGATCATCCCGATTTAGTGGCACGTTTGTCACTTTACCCCGAATTTCGGGAAGCACTTGAAAAAGTCACGTCCATTGGGGCGTTGGTTCTCTTGAAGGATCTTCACACCAGAGAGGAGCTAATTGTTGGTAACACCCATCTCTTTTATCACGCTAACGCTTGTCATATACGTTTGCTGCAGGTATATATGTTGTTGCATAAGCTGAAGATTTTTGCTGCGTCGCAGCCTTCTGTCGTTCTCTGTGGGGATTTTAACTTTACTCCCACAACGGGCGGGTACAGGCTTGTGACGAAGGGTCAGACGGAGGCGGAACATCATTCCTGGAAGAAAGGTGAGCTTTTCTATTGGGGATGTGATCGCATGCTGGGTGTCAGCACAGAGGAAATGGAGGGGGTAGAAGAAGCGGCTGAGGAGGGCGCGTCATCGTCGGTGCCGGTGACTCAGCCGGACAAACGTCAGCCGCCATTTGAGGCATTTCGAGAAACCCTTAGTGCCCCATTGCAGCTGAGGGATGCGTACAGCGAGACGGGGCAAGAGTTGCCCTGGACAAATTATGCCATGACTTTTCGCGAGGTCATTGATTACATATTTTTTGCGCCGACGCGTCTCTCCGTTCTGCGCACCGTTCCGATTCCGCCGGAGAGCGAACTATCGGAAAATGTGGCGTTACCAAACAAGCAGTACCCATCCGATCATCTCGCGTTAATTGCTGACTTGGTGTACACGTCCTCTTCGTCGTCGTCATCGTCGTCATGCTAAACGCCGTCCGTCTGCGAGGAGCTGAAGAAGAGCCGCCGGAGTTTCCCTTTTTTTTCTTTTTTTGGTCTCTCTGTGTGTCTGTTTGTGGGCTACACCACTTGTTTTCCTTTTGGGTATTTGTGGTGGTTCCTTCCGTGGCATTGTTGCTTCTTTTTTTTTTTTTTTTTCTCCATTCGGTTTTGAACGGCAGTCGGCTTGTGAGTCCGCTGATCGATGGATTTGGCACACCGCCACCCAAAATACGAGGAAAAAGGAAGAGGGATAATGTTAATGGCGTGAGATAATATGTTTTTATTGGTTCGTTCCTACTGTTGTTGTTCTTCTTGACATGCGCCTGTTCGTTTTTTTTTTATTTTACGTGTGTTTTATGTACGCACGTATTTGTCTATGTACGATATTTCTTCTTTGCGTTTGAGGCTGCTGTGGGGTGTGGGGGAATATATATATGGATGTAGAAGGGAGAGTGTGTGAAGGAGGGAACAAAGAAAACGACACGGAACACCCCCACAGAGAATACAAGACATTTTACTCCGTTGAGTGGTGAACTGACGGCGGCACGAGATAACTCCCCCGCCCCGTCCCCTTCCATTATGTTGTCTATCACCCGTCGCCACGCGGATTTTGGGAAGGAGTTGTACGGCAAATTATCGACGCTCCCGGGAGATTTTTATGAGGCCTGTCGTAGTCACTTTGGAATTACCCTGCACCAAGACACATTCATTGGAGTCCGTTCGTCACAGGTACGAGGTTTGTTTTTGTCTACCAGCAGTAAACCGCTGGAGGCCAATAAACCAATTGCCACTATTCCGCTGACAAGTCTCTACACGGTTTCTAACATTCAAAGTAAACCCAACACACTTCGTCACGTGACATTAGATGGTGTTCGTAATGCCGTGCGAGAGGAGGAGTTTAAGGTGATGTCACCTCAGTTTTATCTGGGTCTTCAGTTCAGTGCCATCATCTCTAGTATTCCCGACATCACTCATGCGCGGGACGCAGAGGAAGTGGAACGAATTACTCAAATTCTCCGTGGTGGAGCCATGCCATGGGCTAGGTTGATTGATGATGAGGATTTTAACGAGCAGTTTATTTTTGGTATGTACGGTATGGCGCTGGATATGTGGCAACTAAAAAGCTACGAGGAAATGACGAAGTTGTTTCATCACAATATTACAGCCATTCATGAGAAATTTCAGCCACCGTTTTCAGTAGACACTTTTAGACGCATCGCACGTTTAGTTCTGGCGCGTGTGGAGCACATGCCTCCACCGGACTATTACGACGGTTCAGCCGTGTGGCGTCGTGTGCGTCACTACATGCGCCAGTGGATAAAAAAGCCAGACCCGTCAGAAGTGTGCATGGTGCCACTGCTTGACCTGGTGAATCATTCTAATCGACCCAACTGTGGCTTACGCGTGGGTCCGAGTTCTGTTGTGGGCGGCAAAGGTGCCATAACACTTTATTCCATTGCCCGCATCAACCCCGGCCAAGAGATTTGCCGGCATTACAACTTTGCCATTAATCGTCCCAATGCCCTTTTCCGCTATGGGTTTTTGCCGTTTGACTTGATTTCCATCGTGGAGCACGACGCCATTGACGAGTACCTTGTCAAGAATCAGCACATGCTGCGAGAGGAGTCGGAGGAGGTGCGAATGAAGCAGCAAAAAGAGAGGGAAGAGATTCAGAAGCTGGGAAAGATTTTCAACACGCACGCTCGGGAAGATGATCCAATAATGCAGTAAAGAAATAGAATCTGAAAATGC